AGAGTGCCACGCGGGCCGGAACCTGTAGGCCGGACTTCCGGTAGATACGCCGGTTATGCTCGCCATTCACGGAACCGCTCCCTCGCGACTCGATTGTTAGAAGCGAATATTTAGCCAATTTCGGGATAAAAGTTCGACCAGCACCGGTCGACGGCACGCCAATTCGATTGGGAATCAGCGTATCGTGATCGGGCTCGAAATACGAAAATAAAAAGAACGAAACGCCGGAAATTAACAACCATCGCGCCCAAATATTACGAGACCCCCGTGTTTTCTTTGTATGTGTCTCGCGTGATACAATGTGTGACAGACCTTGACACTGATACACAATTTGAGAATTAGTTATCATTGATTTTTAATCATTTATTCGTGAATTTTATGTATTATAGATACAGTGCTTTCGTTTAGAATTTTTGCATATTCCTTTGTGTTCCTCGAATTGTTACTTAATGAGGGTAACGATTATTTGAGAAGGTAAAATGAGTAATTTAGAACAGTATCGTTGAATGTCTTTGTGATATGTATTGTTTTTTTAATAAAGAGGTTTATTGTAACTCGACATTTTTGCAAATGTATTTTCCAGTGAAAACAACGATTGCAGTTTCGTGGTTTTTTTTCCCAATGATTTTTCTGTTTTCCACACGATATCGTAGAAACATTTGAAAGGTCTCGATAGTATGCGTGAAGGGGCGTCACGAAAAACGTGCGGTCTATCGCAACCCGACTCCCTGTGTATTTTCGTGTAATACGACGCATAAAGGAATACCATTCTTTTGGCGGGGAATGTTAAAATCCTTGAACGTTCGAAAACAGCAATCGTTCGGGCGTTCGGGGAATTCAAAACTTGGACCGCGTTATCGTGAGCTCGCACGTACTCGACGACTGCGGCATTCCATGGGGTGGTCGGCTGTTTATAAATTAAGTCGATCCGACTTTAATCGAACTCTTTGTCTCCTCGCGAATTCTCACGCCGGGTCTATTCTTTAGATAGAGGATTATTTTCTAAGAAATACGTTTTATCTTCAACAAACATTCCTTTCTTAGAGAAATAAACGAAACGTAGGTATGTTTATATATTTGTTACATCGTTCGATAGACATCGGAATTATGGAATCGAAGTTTCGTTGAACAAATTGTGAACATTTCAAGTAACTGCAAGTTTCAAGTTTCAAATCTCAAGTTTCAAATTTCAAATGTCAAATGTCAAATTTCAATGATTTAAATGTCCGAATTCTTAAGTTTTCGATGTCTCGAATTTCCAAATTTCTAGGTTTTCAATATTTGAAATGTCCGAATTCCCGAGTTTTCAATGTCTCGAATTTCCAAATTCCCAAGTTTTCAATATTTGAAATGTCCGAATTCCGGAATTTTCAATGTCTCGAATTTCCAAATTCCCAAACTTTCAATATTTTACATGTCCAAATTCCCAAGTTTTCAACGTTTTAAATGTGATTTACAGCGATTGAAACTTTTATTCAAATAAAACCACAATGTATTCGCATCGCGTGCGCATCAACTTCGCCAATTTCCTCGAGTACCCGAACCGTCGCGTACCCGATTTCTCAATGAGATGTGCGCGAACGCGTAAACAAGCGGCGCAAAAGGGAAACAAAATAGATCACGCGCCATGCTCTGTTTATCGGGCTGCGAATTATGTACGAGTGTCAGTCAATGGACAAGCTACCCCGCCCCCTCCGCGCTTTAACATCCGTTCTAAAAAAGATATTCACTTGTCGATCAGTGACAACACTGATGCAACATTGTTCCCGGCGTATGGTGAATTTCAACTCATTTGCATCATTAATTCGCATTACACATTACAATAATCGTAGAATCCCGCACGAGAAGTGGATTACGCGATGCTGCTCTATAATTTCGCACAGGTAATAATTGTACTAACAGTGCTTACATAGTACCAAAGTACTAAAAAATGAATAAAAAAAAAAAATAAGA